GCCTTTTGAGGAACTGCCAATTATTTTTAATGCAGCATTTCTTAAAGTGAGATTATTTCATTATAACCAAACAACATTAATAGTGAGTCCTTGCTATTTGTCAGACACCAGTCTCACACATCACATGGCTATTTATACTGTCTTCTCAAAAATACTATGAAGGAGAAATTACAGCCAGCCCTCCATATACGTGGATTGTACATCTGCAGGTTCAACCTTGAAAACATTTTAAAGTTTCTTCTGCACTGAAGATGAACAGATTTTTTTCCTTGTCATTATTCTCTGAATAATAAATTATAACAGCTATCTATGTAGTCATTCACATTGTATTGCGTATTGATAAGTAATCTAGAGAGGATTCAGAGTATATGGGTGGATGTAGTTAGGTTATACACAATGCTATGTCATTTTATAAAAAGGATTTGGGCTTACATAGACTTTGGAATCTACAGGGCTCCAGGAACAACTGTATTAGTAACAGCCCCAATTCATGGGTGAGAAAATTTAAGAGTAAAAGTGGACTATACTTTGTTTTGAGTCACATGTTAATCAGTGTTCCCCTTTGAGGCAGGATATAAACCCTGCAGTTTAAGCAAAACTAAATGTCTGCAAATGACCTGTATCTGGTATTTTCCTTATATGAAGTATATGTTTCAAAAAGAAACAATATACTAAGAATTGTGACAAATCATAAATTTTAAACATCAAGGTAACTTAGAAATGGACAAAGTTGCTTTATAATAAAAGGGATAAAAAGTTAAAACTTTTCTCAGTGTGCATCCCATAATCAATGGTTGTAAACATCTAGTTGCAAAAATTGGGTTTTGGACAATAAATTACAGCTCAACATAAAGTAACTTTAAATCTCAAAAATACATACAAATAATCAGATGACCTAATTAGTCAAAATAAATCATAAATAGCACACACACAAACTGACAAGTCTAAGAAGCAGGGTACAAAATTTTATATATAAGATATTTTACTACTTTAAACTTAAATAATTATTTGTCAAAATTGGTATAGATATACAACTGTTGGTGATTTTCTTATAGATTTTTGGATTTTTAAATTTGGATTACTTATGTAATGGTATGATTATTACTTATGTACTTATAGAACAGAGATAATAACAAATAACAAATGAGTACTTGCCAGAAATTGTTTAAATTAATTTAGCATTCTTAAGAACTCTTATTAGGTGGGCACTCTTAGACTCTTCACTTTGCATTGAAGATGCTGAGACAAGGGAAGATCAAGAAATAGTGACTATATTGAATGTTGTAAAAGAAGTTGCATGGTGTCCGTTAATTTGCTAATGCATAAGAAATCAGTTTCTGGAGATTTTGATTTTTTTTTTAACTGGTGCTTTGTTTAATAATTTGTATTTGACCAACTTATTTGGTCTGGAATTAATATATCCAAGTGAGATAAAGTTCATGTGAAGTGGAGAAGCAGGTGTTTTGCAAACATATTATTGTTTGAGGTACATCTTAGAAGATGACCAGGTACACCAAGCTGATAGGTTGGGGGTTAGGGGTATGGTATGGACAAATGCATTCCAAGTAGAAGGAGTGATCTCTGGGGATTGAAAACTATTACACCTGGCTAGAGTTTAGGGTCTGAGAGAATGTGTGGCCAGAAATGGGAATGAAGATGTAAGCAAGGAGTACCACAGATGTCCCCCCCAACTTAGGCACCTGTAGAGATAGGCAGATATCCTACTGAAGTGAAGCAAACCTGGGGTGTGGCAGAAAAGAGTGGGAGGGGGTTTGCACTTGTAAGACCACCAGAGCCCTTGTCAAAAGTGGCATCTACTGCTCAGCACATTCTTGTCATGTGTGATGGAGGGCCCAGTGACCCTTTAGATTTTTCAAGAGAAGCTAGAACTATATTTTTTATATGTGTTCTTTTGAGTTTTAACTGGTGGATACTAACTCAGATTTCTAGAACACTCATGGCCTGATATGTTGGCGATGAAACAGATTGGAGGACCTCTAGGTTGTGGACTGTTATTCATATTTTCGTGGGAGGATACTGAAGATTTGGACTTATTCATCAGCTCAGGGCCTGGTCTTTACTAGTTTTCCAAAAAGGTTGCTAATGGGAATCAAAAGTAATTGCATGCTGGGAATTAAGGGGCCCTTATTCAATAATTTCAAGAAATTGTTCTGATGCTGGGATGTGCCCCCTCCAACCACCACCTACTTATTGTGATGGAATTAACTGGAAAGCCCAGAATAGGACAAGGAAACAGTCCTTGAGGTTCTTCTTTCAAAAGTCAAAGCCTGCAGTGTTCTGGTTTCTAGAACTCCATTCATTCTCCCCCTGGCAGCTCCCTCCTCTATCTCCCTAACTTGTTTTACTTGGTTGTTTCAACTGCATGCCAATAAACATTTCATCAGAGTTTACAATGGAAATGAAGAAACCAAAACACTAGTTTAAAATGCCTCCCATTTAGGAGGCAGGGAAGTCACGGGAATTTATTGAACACATAGAGATGTTTTGCCTTGAACCCTCAAGCATTGAAATGTGTTATGGGCAAGGGGCACTGGGAGTTTAGAGTGGAGGAAACACAGCCACAGGCCTGTGGAGATATTTGTGGTGTCCAAGGATGACTTAGCACAACCCAGTGTGGGCTGAGCTTGGCTTTGAACAGCTGTTAGACACCACAGGGAGGATGAAAAAGAGCTACTCAATACAACCTTCTAAGTGCCAGGGAGGGGTAGACTCATGTCAGGTACGAAGCTGGTCCCACGAGGATGTCATACTCTCTTCTCCTCTTAGACCTGTTTCACAACCCGCTCTGGGTGCTGTAGGGCCCCCATCCCTGAGGGTACATCTGTGAAGGTAAGACAACCCAGTTATCCAATTGCTTTGTGGGTACTTTTAAGGGCATGTGGTCTTTGCAATATGAGAGACCATCCAGAAACACACCTTCCCTAGGCACAAGCCTCCAGCCCCAGCCCCAGACTGGCAAGCCTCGTTTCGTTACCTGTGAAATGGAAACGTGAAGCTGTTATGGGGGATTGAATGAGACACTCCATGTAAAGAGCTAAGCACAATGTGACATGTAGAAATGTTGCTAAACTGATGCTTTTTTCTCAGGGCTGACTCACTTAAGCTATCATTGGCACTGCTAGGACTGATCACTTCCTCTTGAAATTTTCTTCTTTATTTGGTGCCAAGTGCAACACTCCCAATTCTCCAACTGTTCCCAGCTTTTATATTTGTGGAATCTCTATGTACATCCTTTGTTGTTTAGGCTGACATTATAAAAGATCTCATCTAATCTCATGGTCTTAAATTTTGTCTCTAAACTGATTATGTCCAAATTATATCTCTATCCTGGAACTTTGACTTTGAATACTAGAGTTACATATCCTGATGCCTACTCAACATGTCCATGTGGATGTTTTGCTGCTTTTTGCTTTTTTTTTTTTTTTGGTCTCAGATCATCCTTTGTCCTTCCTCTGCTCTACTCTGTCTCAGAGAGTGGAGGGGTCTGACCCTTGTAGGCTGCATTTCTTAGGCTCCCAAATCTGCAGTTTCAAGCTGCATTTAACCTACAGGAGGGATTGGTAGAAGACTGGAACACAGAAGGAAAGAAAAGCTTTGATATTTCTAGCTCCCCTCTTTTGGTCTTGGGTAGTTGTCTCTGACAGAGGCTGCAGCTAACCTTTGGTCTCTGATGACACTATCTTCTTGCAATAATGACTCAGTCCTTCCACCTTTGCTTATAATATTTGGAGTTCCTGCCCAAGCCCTGTTAGCTTCCCAGAAATTCCATTGTCTGTGTGACAGTTTCCTCTGCTTGGAATCCCTCCAGTGGTTACTTTTTCCTTACCTGGTGGAGTTCTCTAACAGGTGTCTCAAAATCAATACATTTGGAACACACTCTTGATTTCCCTTTCAGGCTGCTCTTTCTGGCACTGTCTTCATTTCTGTTCATGGTATTTTCATCTTATTAAACACAGTAGTGTCATCCTTGACACCATTTTCCTTCTCATACCTCCAGCCAATCAACCAGCAAATCTTGCTCTCTGGACTTCATGAACATAACTAGAGTCAACTATTTTCCCACACCCCTGCCGCTGTCATGCTTGTCCAAGCCATCATCAGTTCTATCCTGCTGTTCTAGATTTTTCCGTAAGCCAGATTATGTTGCCTTGTGGTGAAAACCCTTCACTAGTTTCTCATTTTGGTCAGAAGAAAAGGAAAAATCTTGACAATTGAGCCTCAAGCCAGCCACCTGCCTCTAGTACTGTTCCCCACTTCCGTGATGCACATTTATCTATGTCTTAGCTGCATTGAGCTCATCGCTCCCGCTAGAACCTGCAGGAAATACTGCAGCCCCATTCCCTTTTCTCTTGATATTACCATCTCAGAATGCTCTTTCCCCGGTATCCAGGAGGCTCTTAATCACTTCCAGTCTGTACTCACATGACCCTTCATAGAGGGTTCTTTTCTGATTACTACCCTGTTTGATTGCTCTTCATAACACTTAACACCACCTTAAACATTATGGAGTTATTTATGCACGGTGTGTCTCTTTCCCATTAGAATGTAAGCAAGAAAACAGGGACTTCGGTAGCTACACTTCCAGTCTTAATAATGTCTGGCACTTAGTAAGTGCTCAATAAAATATTCGTTGAGTGAAATGATTAACAACACCATATGTGCATATTGAATATTGTTATATTCCTCCCCTTTTCACAGATCTTTAATAACAATAAAAACATAAAATGTACAGCAAGATGGCTTTGCATCAGGAACTCTGCCAATCACTTTATAAGAAGCATATAATTTGTTTTTATCATTGGAACCCAAGGCTGCGTGCCAGGTGCAGAGGGTGCAGCCCCGCAGAGACGAGGGGGCGCTGGGGACGCTCATGGCGCATGCTCCTCTGAAAGCCTGCAGCAGGGCCGCTCGGAAGCCGCGGGGCCAGGCCGGGGCGGAGTCGCCGGGGCACTTCCCGGTGGCGGGCTGCTCTGGTTGGCTGCACCAGCACCCATAGCGCTGTGGCAGGTGCCCGCCCTCCCGCCAGGGCCGCCTCGGTCCTCTTCAAATCCGCTCCCCGCACTGTGGAGCCGCGAGTGGTCAGTGCGACGCGGGACAGCTGCGGGGGTGAGTGCGCCCGGGTCGCGGGTGGGAGCTGGTGCTGCGCTCGTGGGTCTCCGCGCCTTGCCTGGGGAAGCCGCGGAGCCTTGGCTGCGGCCAGTGGCTCTTAAGCTTCTCCCAAGCACTCTGCAGCTGGGGCTCTCAGGCGGGGTCCACCCTTCCCTGCGCGCTTTCGGATTTCATGGACATGCGCAGTGTCTGGCCGGTGAAGCTGACCACAGCCCCTGGACTGCGCAGACAGCGGAGTGCCGGGTTCTCACCCAGCCCTCCTCGCTCCCTGGGCTGCTCTTCCGCTAGTTCGTCCTGGCGGCCTTCCCTAGTCTCTTAATTTGTTAGCCAGAGGGCTTCGGTCCTGGAGGTACAAAGTTGAGTCAGACTTAGACTCTGCCCTCCCTCCGCCTGGGGTGAAATGAAGACAGACAGCCGCACTTAATCGGCTTGTTACGAAGTCAGAAGAACTGAGATAAGGTGAATAGCACTCTGAGTCCAGCAGTCCAGTGTAGAGAGAATTTATTTCTCTCATAATCTCCTCTGTGAGAATTGCTTGAAAGTTTGTTGAGAAATTAAGTATTGAGGTGGCAGGCCAGATGAACTGGGTGACATTTCCATTTGAGTAGCTTCAGGTGGCACTTATGGAGCATCCTCTGGCCTGCTGGTCCAGGTTCTGTAGAATAGGCACCGCGTGGAAAGCAGCTGCTGCCGGATGCTTATTCTAAACTGCAGTGATAATGATGAATTTTTCCCTTTTCCATCTTCTTATTCTCAAGTCATAAAGGACTTCGGGGAGATTGAACTTCTGTACAGTTCTTCGCAGCTACCCAAGTGAAAGACACTCCTGTTAGGGATGTAGCTCAGTGGTGGAGCATTTGCCTAATGGTGCAAGGCCCTGGGATGGTTTCCCACCTCCTGAGGGTGAGGCGGGGGAACTTATAATTAAAAAGCAGAAGGCTTGCTTGATCAATGCAGGCTCAAGAATATTCCCTCCTACCTAGAATTTTAGGTTTCACTGTTGCTTGGAACAATAACTTAAGGAGCCATTGCAGCAACAGAAGTGAGTCGATTCAACTTTTGCAGTCTGAGAACCACTTTCTTAAGATGTGGAATACTTGTTTAAGCAAGTCTTTTATTATTTTTTTTAAACAGCAGTATTGAGGAGTTACTGACTCAATAAAAAGATACAGTGTACAAATTTCTAAGCTTTGATGTAAGTATACATCTGTGAAATCATCAGTGCATTCAGTGTTATGAAACTATGCATCATCCCCTGGTAATCTTTCCTTTCCTCATGCCCCTTCTCTCCCCAGGCATTGATTTGCTTTCTGTCAATGTAGATTAGATTGCATTTTCCTAAGTTTTAAATAAATGGGAGCAAAATGATTTTCTCTCTCTTGCTCTCTGTTCTTGTGGGTCTGACTTCTTTGGTGAAGCAAAATTACTTTGAGATTCATCTGTACGTTCATTCCTTTTTATCATCTAATAGTATGTGAATACCATAATATATTTATCCATTTGGAACGGTTTGGGTTTTCCAGCTTTTGGCTGTTATGCACAAAGCTGCTATAAAACATTTATGTGCAAATCTTTGTATGGCCATATGCACATACATCTTTTTAAGTGATTCTATTTATTTTTTAAATGTAGTTAAGCCTGGGCAATAGTCCCAGTATTTCCTCTAACCAACTGTGTGTCCTGAGGGGAGTCACATTACTTTTCCTTTAATGTCCCAAGTCTTGCTGCTGTGTTGTGATTTTGAGCCATTACTGCCAGAAACTAGGATGATCTTTGTTGGTGGTTGGAGAGTCAGGAGAGGGGTTGACTTCTGCTTCCTTATTTCTCTTGCTGGCTCTTTTCTCTTACTTCACTTTTTTTCACTTGAGTGACAACTGTGAGTCTTGACCTATAATTTGAGGCAAGAACAGAAGTTAGTAGATAGTGGGAGGGAAAAGCTAGTATTGGCTAAACATGAAAATGTTTAAATCACCCAAGGAGAGGAAAAGGTGGGAAATTAACAGGTTCTGGAGTTTTTTCCTCTTTCTATCTGTCCTTTTCTAAGTTCTGCCTCCTGTTACTTATTTTTGTAGAAACAATTTAACTTTGTGGTGAGGTGGTAAGTGGGAGTGCTGGGCTCCAAAGGTCACATGTTAACTGGAGTGTCAGGGTGGGAGGTTTCTTAGTAAAGAATTCCTCTTCATTTTCTCTTTTTAGATATGGCTGGAGTAATTTGTCATGCACCTAACTCTGCTTCCCTTAAACTTGCTTCAGAACTTGTAAGAGTATTTATCTGCCAGTACATTTTTGTGCAGTAAAATTTGGAAAGGTAACAATTGACTGTTTTATACAGAATGAAAATGAAGCTGTTGGGGTTGGTGGTCTGTTTGGTCCTTGGGATCCTGCATTTGGTGGGGACCAGAGGGAAAGTGTCAGCTGTGGATCCTGAAGCAAACATGACTGTGGTAAGTTTCTCCAAGTCATGTGCTTTTAAAATGGAACTGTGACAAATGTTGTTTCCTTAAATATAGTTATTCGGGCTATATGAAGCTACAGCTCTAATCTCTTATAGCTCATTATGTTTTCCTCTATGTTTAAATCTTAGATTCTGTTTACGCGACTGTTCCCACGAGGTAGAGTGTATGTAACAGACTTCATGTGACTGTTGAAAACTACAAACTTCTTAAGATTAATGGAGACTTTTTAAAATCAGTTTCATTTTTGAGTCTCACAGACTCAATAAAAATGAGTCAAAATTTTGTAAGAGCATTACAACCAACTGTTGGTTGTAGACTACATTTAACACAGCTTGTGACTAAGAATGTCCAGGGGACATATTTCAACACAAAGTGAAGTATTTGAAAAATATATTGGAAGAAATAAGCAAAAATAGGCTCTTGACTAATTAAAACATTTCCAAATTATTATTCTGAAGTAAACAATCAAATCTGGAAGCACTTCATTTAGGTGTAAGATTTTGGAAAAATACAATTATTAAATGAAACAGCAACTTTAAAATAGTAGATGCAGTGACCCAACTGAAGAATTGGGTAGCTGTAGAGACTCAGAAAAATTAGCGACCCAAGGAGGATCTCAAGATTAAGTTTAGGTTTTTGTCCCAAATCTTTTACTTCCTTCTCTTTTAACAAATTCTTTCCCATAAGAATAATAAAATTAAATCCTTTCAAGTATTTATGGTAGAAAGGAAGATAATAAGCACTTATTTACATTAAATTTTCTGGGTAGTTGATTCATCCATATCCCAATAAGCTTCCAAGTAACAGTTGCCCAATGTGGCTTTCCTTATGGAGAAGTGAATTTATTTATAATTCCCTATTTTTTCAGCTTTTCTTCAACTGCATCTTGACATTCTAGTGCAATTTTTGTTTTAGTCCACTGATGAGAATGGATTGATTTTTTTTAAAGTGCTCTATTTCTTAGGATGGAACCTTTAAAACAAGGACAGTATTAGCTGGCATATTTAGAAAATAAAGAAATGAGTGTATTTGTGCCTGGTAGGCAAGATGAAAAGGAGGCCCAAATGCTGTGGTAAAATTAGACATATTTGTTATAGAAGATGCCAGAGTGATAAAACCAAAGTTTGACTAAACACCTGTGGGTTTGGGAGATTTACTCTGGTGATTGCCTGTTGGTTGCTAGATGAGCAGACTCAAATGTCAATAACAATTGATTTCTTAAATAAATGTCATTATATTCTGTTTTCTTCTTTGCCTGTTCATGTGGGAGAGTGCATCAGATTCTGTCTGTAGAATGTTGTTTCCTGAAATATGGTTACATTTCATATAGTTGTTTTTTCTCTCCTCAGATTGAAATTATCACTCACTGGGGATTCCCTGCTGAGGAACACTTAGTGGAGACAGAAGACGGGTATATTCTGTGCCTTCACCGAATCCCTCATGGGAGGAAGAGCTATTCTGACAAAGGTATGGTGTTTTGTGGGGTGAGACAGAAGAGCTCTGAAGAGTAACTGCATTGCTGGAATTTCAAGTGAATTCACATGTAACTTGAAAACATTGAAATGGGATTAGTTTTAGACCAGTGTGCTAAATGTGTTACATTTATGCAAAGCATATGAAAATATTTTAAAGAAGTGTGGAGAATCCATCAAATTTCATATTTTCCTGAAAGTTTCAAAGGTCAAATTCCTTTGAGAATATGCTAAAATGTGTCCTTTCTTTGTTTTATAAGGAAGCATCTTACTTAATGAAATGTTTTGAACATTAAATAGATGGCTTCTGCTATTAAAAAATTATTAAATTTTTTGAATAGGTAATGTATTCACACAGTCCAAAATCAAAGAGAATAGAAAGATGCATAGTAAAATACCTCCTTTCTATCTTATTCCTTGTTTCATGTTTTTAAAAGTATCCTTTTGAAATTTTTTTCATTTTTAATTTTTTTTATCTCCAAAAGTCTCATTAGAAGCAAATACAAACATGGATTCTTATTTTTCCCTTGCCTCCTTTTATTTATTTATTTTTTAAATTTTTATTTATTTATTTATTTATTTATTATTCATATGTGCATACAAGGCTTGGGTCATTTCTCCTCCCTGCCCCCACCCCCTCCCTTACCACCCACTCCTCCCCCTCCCTCTCCCCCCCACACACTCGATACCCAGCAGAAACTATTTTGCCCTTATCTCTAATTTTGTTGAAGAGAGAGTATAAGCAATAATAGGAAGGAACAAGGGTTTTTGCTAGTTGAGATAAGGATAGCTGTACAGGGATTGGACTCACATTAATTTCCTGTGCATGTGTGTTACCTTCTAGGTTAATTCTTCTTGATCTAACCTTTTCTCTAGTCCTGGTCCCCTTCTCCTATTGGCCTCAGTTGCTTTTAAGGTATCTGCTTTAGTTTCTCTGCGTTGAGGGCAACAAATGCTAGCTAATTTTTTAGGCGTCTTACCTATCCTCACCCCTCCCTTGTGTGCTCTCGCTTTTATCTTGTGATCAAAATTCAATCACCTTGTTGTGTATGCCCTTGATCTAATGTCCACATATGAGGGAGAACATACGATTTTTGGTCTTTTGGGCCAGGCTAACCTCACTCAGAATGATGTTTTCCAATTCCATCCATTTACCAGCGAATGATAACATTTCGTTCTTTTTCATGGCTGCATAAAATTCCATTGTGTATAGATACCACATTTTCTTAATCCATTCGTCAGTGGTGGGGCATCTTGGCTGTTTCCATAACTTGGCTATTGTGAAAAGTGCTTCCCTTGCTTCCTTTTAAATTCAAAAGTTGGCATAATATGCACACTCTTGTTCTTTGAATTTTTACTTAATGTCTTGTATGATCTTTCCATGAATACATACAGCACTTATTCTATAGTAAGCATTCTATTAATGAGCATTTGTGCTATTTCCAGTTTTTTGCTAACAAATGTTGCTGCTGCAGTAAACCTTTTATGTGTATTAAGTTTATTGATAAGTTGTCTTTCTAGAAATAGAATTTTTGGGCCAGAAGATTATGAATTTGTGTTTTGATAGTTAAATTGCTTTGCATGTGCACTTGTACTTGTAACTACTGCTCTCACTAGGAATGTATGGAAGTTCTTATAGCTTTGGCTTATAAAACTGTATACATATGTGTGTGTGTGTGTGTGTGTGTATGTGTATACATATATTTGCATATTTCCTTTTTTGTCATTTTATAGCCTAGCAAAACTGCAGTTTCTGATGCAGATTAAGGAACTGCTAGACAGACTAATTGAAATTTTAAACAGATATCAGAATAACAGATTTATTCAGTTATCTCTCCCAGTATGACCTATTCTTTTAGGTTAAGGTAACTGGATCACTTTCTTGTCTTTAATTAAGGTTTCTTTTTTTTTTTTTTGTGGTACTGGGGTTTGGAACTCAGGGCTTCACACTTGTTAGGCAGGCACTTTTACCACTTGAGCTACTCCACCAACCCATTTTTGTGATGGATTTTTTGAGATAGGGCTCGTCAACTATTTGCCTGGGCTGGCTTTGAACTGTGATCCTCCTGATCTCTGCCTTCTGAATAGCTAGGCTTACAGGCGTGAGCCACGGGCGCCTGGCTCCATTCAAGTTTTATGTGGGCAGAAGAACTTCTTTACCATGATTCCTTTCCTTCCCGAATTGTTTTTCAAACAAAAAAAACCTTCTGTGATAATATGAGCTTTGTATCATTATTTGCTTTATGCTTTCTCTTAATCTAGTCCAGTTTACCTCATTTTTCTTCCATAAATTCTAGGCATAATAAAGCATCTGATAATGTTTAAGTAGCGATAAGTTAATGTTTTGATATTTAATTGAGAAATTAAATGTTGAGAGTTTTAAAAAGCTTTGTAACTTTTTTTAAAACTAAACTTCCCGTTTATAAATGTGTTACCAGATGAGTGATGAGTTGCAGTACAGGTCTATCATTTTTCTTGTGCTCAGACAACACGAAGCAACTATTTTATGCTACAGTGAGCATATGATCTTTGTTTCCTTCCTTCCTTTTTTTTTTCTTTAAAGAACTGTAAATATTTCAGACTCCATGTACAGAAAATAGACATTGATGTTATTTCTCATAAAAGCAGTTCACTGACTAATATAATTGGTAAAGTGAGTCATTCCTAAAAGGTGCTGGGAATCTCAGTAAAACATGCTGAGTGAATGTGCCTCCTCTTCTTTTTCTGTTTCCACCTCCAGGCCTCTCTTTCTATACAGCAGTTGCCAGGGTTCCCTGCCATATTTGTGTGTGTGTCACACTGTCCCGGGTGAAGGTGCTGTGTCCTGCAGTATGAGTAAGCATGAGTCTTGATATGCTCCCAGGTGCTGGGAGAAGCAATAGGAGACCCCAGTGCTAGAGCTGGTCTGCGCTGACTCCTTTTGTGCTTTCATCCCTGTGAGTCTCAGAGTCTGTATCTCTCGCAACCATCGATTGATGTGGATGGTCTCAAAGGTCCCATTTAGTTGCTACATTTTCTGTTTTTTGGGGTTATATTTTTTATTTTTTTGAGGGGGAGATGTGTTGGAGGATGGGGAAGTATATACTCTTGGTCTTCAGAATGGGGACCATAGACTGAAAGTACTCTAAGCAGAATCTGGCCATAGCAGTAGGTTCCCATCTTCTTTTCTCTGTTCCAAGTTTCCCCGAGAGGATCAGGGACATGTATTTAATACCTGCTGTGAGCCAACCCCAGAGGGGATTTTTCAAGAAAATGTATAACAAATGACTCAGTTCTCTGAAGGAATTGTGATTTTCCTAAGAACTGCACAAGCGCTTTCCATGGTCCAAGACAAGCATGGGACAGAATGTACATTCAAGAGCAGTGTTATCAGCACTGTTACTTTGGTTCATTGAAAGCCAGCTAGTCAAAAAGAATACACAAAGTCCTTTGCACCCAAAATGGAGCTCATCTTCTTCTCAGTATGCCACTTGCCCTCCTAACTTCCTATTAATGGTACCATTACCCTCCCAAAGACCTAGTCTGGAAAGTACAAAATTCATTCTTTCTTCCTTTTCCCCTCCCTTCCCCTCCTCTCCCTTCCCCTTCCCTCCTTTCCCTTTCCCTCCCCTTACCCTTCCTTCCCTTTCCCTTTCCCTCCCCTTCCTTTTCCCTTGCAGTGCTGAAGGTTGAATCTTAGCCTTGCACAAGATAGGCAAGCACTATAGCATTGAGTGACCTCTGCCCTTTCAGGATCATTCTTCAAACTACTCAGGCAACTGTCAGGGCCTCTCTGGGTCACCCATGTTACATCCCTTTTGTTCATTTCTTTCTCTTTCTCCTGTTCCTGACAACACCTTACTTTAGGCTCTTAATATCATTTAACTGGACACCTGAATCAGCCCCTAAACTGGGAGAGGCTTGTGTGGCTTCTTTTTTAAAGGCTTCCCATATATTAAAGAAAAGGAAGAATTTCAAAATAGGAATAGGGAAATTTAGTCTGCTTATGTTTTAAGAAAATAATGCTTTTAGAACACATAAAATAATGCCACAATCCTTACTCTTTATAAGTAATTACTGGATGTGTTAAAATGTTATTCATTTATTGGAACCACATTCCCTAGAGACATATGAATTAACAACTGAATAGTGGGCATCCTGTTGCAGTGAGTCCTGTTGCAGTGGACTCCTCTGACAGTGTTCATAGCCTCACTTGGAGGTTATTGGAGGTTCTGTATAAACTCAGGACTGGACCAAGTAGTATCTTTGCCCATTTCCTCTTGTACGTTCTGCCAGTCTCCCTGTTCTCATCTATCCTACATGTTTTTGCAAGATGAAGTTGCTTAAAGCCTAGCTATAATGATGTGATTGATAGGCCTCAATCTTCAGGGGCTAATGAATGGAGACACATGCCTGCCTTAACATTTTGTCCTAGCCGTTACCTGTATCTTTCACCCCCATTCTATACAGTAGTGACATTTAGCTGCTTGGAGCACATGCGTGCTGTTCTCACTGTTAAGCAACCTTTTCATCAAGTGTTGAGCTACTCTTGCTTTTTGCTAACTTCTTAAGGGAATTGAAATTCAGAAATTAATTATTTTTAGGGAAGTGGTTTTGTTTTCATCTGCTCAGTCTTATTGTAGAAAGTCAAGGAGTCTTAGTGCCAGACCCATCTTAGCTTGCTACTGGGGCCAAGAATTTGCAGAGCTTATATTTTTAACACACTCTTGATTCTAAGGCATCTGGATCTTTGTCTTCTAGATCAACACCTTCATTTTCTTGAGTGAGATGGCCAGGGTCAAAGAAGTAAAGACATTTGCCTCAGGTCACAGGGTAGTCACCTGTTCATTCTAACTGCAGATTCATTGTTCCTTGAATTTGAGAACATAGCCTTAGGTAATAAGTATTGAATAAGCTGGTCCCGTGATAGTCATGACATACGTTTTTTTTAGCTAAAACAAGGAAATGCTGGTTGTGCTAGCATTAAAAATAAAATTCATAAAGCAACAGCAGGAA